GATGAATCGAGGAAAAATCAGCTTTTCGTCAGAAGGAGAAGGAGTTATTGACGAAGGGGCTGATGGCCAGAAGGAAATGAATCTGGAAAGAGCCAGTCAGTCAGTAAAAATACAAATCAATACTGTCTTTCTATCACGAGAATTACCCTCCTCAATATGTCTATAGTAACGATCACTATAATAACAGGCTTTATACATTTTAAGTACAAAAGAGTCAAGTGAAAGTTTAATTACTATTTTGATTTGGGGAAATATTCACCGCGGGAAGGCAAACAATGTTATAACGAGTATTTTACTTAAAGAAAAAAACGTGCATCGCCAGTTTTCATTAAACGCATCAAAGTGTCAAGACAGAAAAGAACAAGTCCGGAGTATATGGAACAATTGGACTTTAACCATATGGTGATACAGTTACTGCACCGCGATGCTACTGATCCGATGAAGCACCCTAAAGGGTTCCATGGTGTATCGCCAGTTTCTCATTAAAAGCACCAAGGGACCAGAAGAGGACCGGACAAGTACAGGGGGATTCATAAAGAAGTATACAGTTTCATTGCACTATAAATCAAGAACAATGTAAGATATTATATGTTACCTGTAACAAAATTGTATGGGATTATGTTAAATTTTGTTAGAGACAGTCATAGATGTTTTATGTGTGAACACTTAGTCGCACGACACACATCGAGCCGGTAATCCATTGCTGCCCAAATGCGTGTTAAGGTATCTGAATCAAGTCCATCGATAGTAGCTGAGATACGCTGCTTCAGCTCTTCTAGATCAATAGGAAGGGGAGGAATCCCCACAGGTAGACTTGTCTTTTAGGTACCCCCACAGGAAGAAATCACAAGCTGTTAAGTTAGGACTTTTGAGTGGCCATTAGATAAGTGGAATTTTGTAGTCCGCGGCTCGTCTAATCCATCGGTGAGGGAGTGTTGCACTGTGAATTTGGCATTCTCTGTTCCCCAAAAGCGAATATTATGCTTGTTTACCTTCCCATTGACATGAAATGTTGCTTCATCGGTGAAACTAAGCGATCGGCAAGATTGTCATTTTCAAAACGAAGCTGCATATCGGAAAGAAATTCAAAGCGCTTTTTTTTTTTGTCAAAGTCACTCAGATTTTACAACACCTGTACTTTGTACAGTACTTTTGAACCATTTTCAGCTTCTTTCTCAAAATTCTCCAGAATAAAGAGTTGAGAAATCTGCACTTCATTGACTTACTCTCAGCATTAATTTTCCCAGGCTTCATTGAATGGTAGTGCAAACTCAGCAGCAACTTCTTGCGATACAGTCGGTCTTCCAGGACCTTTACTTTTGGACAAACAGCCCATAGTTTAAAATTTTTCATGCCATTGATAGAAAGATTTTCTAGTTGGAGGTTCTTTTCGGAATCTTGATTGAAAATGCCGTTTCACAGCAGTTGCGGATTCTGTTTTGCTAATTCCAAGAACACAAAATACCCTCTACACTGCAGACGGCGCCCTTTCGATTGACTAGTCACAAGACACGTATGGTATTGTCTACGTCACTTCCGTCAGGGGCGAGGCACAAACTTTAAGAGTAGATCTACCTTAAGGTTCGCTGAGGTGGTGCGTGTCTTTGACTATTACTGTTTTACAGCATCTGAAAAGTGTATACTTCTTTATGAATCACCCTGTATAAACATACGGGACAAATGGACTTTAACCACATGGTAATACAGCTACTGCACCGCGATGCTACTGATCCAGGGAAGCATCCTACAAGGGTTCTGTGCTAATTTTCCGAACTATTTTTATGCAGTCATTAGTTACAGTGGTGAGTATGCTAAAATAAATATTGCTCCATAACAATTATTACTCACAAATATCTTGGCCTTGTTTCGGAAGGTAGTCGACAATATTGTTGATTTTTTATGTGATTTCGAACTAGTTAAAATATATCTTTTAAACTAGAGTTCGTTCGTATTTGGTCTAAAAATCTATTGCGTTTTGATTAATAGACATACAAACAAGTAGTGCTCTGTTGTGCCTCTTTCGCCGCAAACATGGTTGTCTGAGGAAGAATATATTTCGCTTATAGTAAGTAGGTGGGAAGGGATCGTGTCCAAATATGAATTGATTTAAAAGGGGGTTAATAAGATAGTTTTCCCTGTTTATTATAATAATTACATCTTGATTTCTTTTGTCTTATGGAAAACGTAAATGCATGTTTTCAGTGCACCCAACTACGAAAATTTAATTATCATTTCTACATCAGCAACCAGTATTAGCCATTCTGGAGGAAGGTGTTCTTATGATAGACAGACAATAATAACTTGTCGAATATCTTACTTAATTGTATGACAAACAAATTCGAGTCATATCTTTTGATTTAGGAAAAATATTTTATTAAAGGGAGTCATTTTTCATAATTACTTTTTGTTATAATGATACTAGAAAGCAGATATTTGTGCTGTAAAACATACTCAGTTCATTGAAAAATAAAATATGAAAATGTATCGTAAATGTACCTTGGAATATATCTTAAATGTACAAAAATAATGTAATCATGTAGGAAATCTACAGCAATGAAACTAAAATAGGGAACAAAATGGAATGCTGTAGCAACATCCCTCACTATGTAGGATTTATGCTAATTAACCTATTATTGTGATTTGAAATTTTATTATAAATTCCTATTTCCAAAGTCTTCACCAGAATCTAAATTAGTTGTAGAGCATTTAATCCGAGTCAATTACTTTGAATGTTTTAGAGTTGGCAACCTCGTCCGCAGTTCACGCACTTTCGCCAGCTCTGCGAAAAGATGTAAACTGCGTAGTTTATTCCGGCTTGAGTCATTTTGCTAGCCGATGCTAAAAGCGCGCCGCTAATTACTTGAGCTAGCTTTTAGCATCAGCTAAAAGCATTTTGTATGTAGTCTCAGACTAAGTTACCTGAATTCAAACTTTCACTTATGTTATTTTAATATCTGCAAGTAGCGGAACTTCGTGTTTTAGCACAACAATTCGCTTTCCTGCTAGTATGGTTTAGAGGCCATTGATTTAAGCTTCTATACAAGCAGAACCCTACAACTCTTTTCTGAAAACAGAATGGGTTATGGTTGATGAGTTTTCAATTAAACAAACTGATAAAAGTTACATTTAAGCTTTTCTTCTAACAGGATTTCCCTTTTTCCTGATGACACATAAATATTACACGAAACAGGCTATTGTTCGATCTTTTCTAATTAAGACAAACATCCACTAACGGAACCTTAGCTGGCATTCTGCCTAAACATTTAAACTCAAATAGCAAGGATATTAGCCTAGAAATTGCTCCGGAGAAGGATAACTTGGAAACGCAGATCATATTTTTCCAACCGCGCAAATATATATTTTTTTCCAATTCGGTAAACAATTCGGTCCGAATGGCACATGCGAGTTTATTCTCATGGTTGTAGTTCTTATGTCTAGACAATCCTCAAGTGACATATCTCCTGTTTTAGTTTAAATAACTTATAATCGACCATATGTACTTTTAAAGGTTTACCGATTTCTTCTTCAGGCGAAACATTCATCTGAAGTTTATGGTGTAGATCGACTCAAGTTTACATATATAAATGTAACATCGCTTTCCCTCATTAAAATATTTTATCACAATGTGCAGCTATGTGCATTGCATACCTTTCCATACCAGAAAAATATATTTCATACTAGAAAAAAGCCATCTGATGAAAATGGTTTCCAATATGACAATAATGACCTACTACGTAAGTTAAAACTCAAATCACTCAGTCAAGCAATGATTTTGATTTAAATGCTATGAAATAAAAGACACAGACTAACGAACAAATAAATACGCTCGTACGCAAAATGAAAATTAGTCTCAATGCTTCTGGAAAATCATTTAAATATGAAATGAAATTTTACACCAGAAATCATTGCGCAAAATAAAAATAGAGAAATGCAATAAAGAATTTCAAATAAAGTATACCTCTTGTGTGTCCTTTGCTAATATAATATATGATAAAATTATACATTTTTAAACACAGACTACATTTCAATACATCGTGTCTTCCATGTTACTGACAAAAACACTGATGTCATCAATAAAAACGTTATTTAAAATATTAAACAGTACAATAATATGACTATGGACTGAGTGATTTAAAGTTTCATCGTGATGTATAACTAAGTTTCATCGTGATCTAGAACAATATAGCGATGCTATTGTACGTCTGTTAAGTAATCTTTTATGAAACATGCTTTCATTTTTGATAGATTGTAATGAAAACATCACAATAAATATTTATCAGAAATCTTGTTAAGCAGAGTTTCGCCTTCAAACATTCCAAATAACGGTACAGGTCAGTTTCGACGTTTCGACGCCAACGTTTTGACGCCAACGGTTCGACGCCAGCGTTTCGACGCGTGGTCAATTCGACGCGAGGTCGTCTCGACGCGGGGTCAGTTCGACACCATACATTTTTTGCTTTTGTTTGACGCCATACTTTTCGTATTTTTATTTATTTTAGAATAAGTTTGCATCATCATTCAACTAATTTGGTGTCATCATCATTTGATGTTTCACACCCCACATTATGGGAATTCATAGATGGTCTCAGCGTGTTCAAAAATCAATTGATCAGTTATGAAAATTTATACGGAGATGAACCACCGCCAAGGAATAGAATCTGAGAGCTGATAGAGAATAAGGGCATTTTGAAATCGAGAAATACGGAATACCTGAATGTGTGGGGCAACTTTAAATGGAGATAAATAACAGTTTGTGATGTAATCAATTTATCTCTAATCTATTAGGGAACTTACGTAATCTAGTACTTAAATATTTTCTGCAATAAATAAACTACTTTTGAACATGTTTATTTCCATGTTTATTTTGCCTTTTTGATGCGTTTTGTGAATAAATAATAGAAAAACCTCCCTCAGGTCCCGGGCCTCGATGGGCGAGGGGGTTCCCTGGACACAAACAAAATCTAGAAACTTTCACCATATACCCATTTTTATTTAAAATATGCATGCAACAATCGCTAATTCAATAAATAAAAATCAGTCATATTACTTTATTATATTATTTCATATTTATTCTAAAAAAATAAATAAAAATACGAAAAACAAATATGGCGTCGAACTGCTTCTGCGTCGAAACGTACAGCGTCGAACTGCCCCGGCGTCGAACCGTTGGCGTCGAACCGTCAGAGTCGAAACGACCTGCTTCGCCAGATAATGCAAGATACAAAACAGTTTTCGATGCATCCGATGATGTAACGTGCATTATTTGTTCTTGTCTATAATCAGGATCACCTCCAATACACAGGATTATCTCTATTATAGGAAGACCATTTGGAGAATACATTTTCATTGAACCGAAATGGGTATGCATTACGATTCATGCTTGTGGATGGTTGCAGGCACCGTGTTCTTATAGGAAAGATTGATGGAAAGATGCAGTAATCTTTCGTTGATTGTGAAACATTCAGTGGAATAACTTTACAGTTCTTTAATTGTTGACTATTTAAATCCAGCAAATTAGTTCGAGGCAATGGCAGTTGCCCGAATTCCCCTTCAGAATTGTCATTCTGGAATGATCCGTTATCTGAAAGAAAATGAAAAAAAAAAAAAAAAAGATTCAGCAAATGATATGTTCAGAACTCGAAATCTTCGTCGATTCTTCGGCTTTCATACTTTATTACAAAGCTTTGCATGATTATTTAAACGATTTTGTTAACGCACATTAAAATTTTTCCGTGAAAAATCATGTTATCATATATTGCAATTCAGTTTGAAAAATCTTTTTTTAAAATCGTTTTCAATACCTTCAAAAGCTTTAACTATTCGTTAATGCTGACTGCAATTTCTGTCGCTAACTTGGAAACTTAAAATATGAGATTGAACTGAAAGGTAAGAACTGACACTTTCTATATATGCCACGCGTATTATTTAATTTCATTTTTAAATAATGATTAAGCCGTAACATACATCAGTGAAATAAATTTTATAATGTCTGGTATTAAATTAAATTTAATTAAATAATTATAAATTAAAACGAAAGTTCCTCTTCCACGAATAAAATTTGAGAACATTACCGTTTTTACTTCCTTGTACGAAGTAAGGGAGATATTATAATCACGAAAAATTCCTGGTATCATATTTCAAAGAAAATATCCATTTTTACCGCTATCGAATGCAATTTAACGATGTCTTCGGGTGATATCTGCACGTACATAAGGGCAAAATACAGGACTCTTTTCCCCCAAACGAATTATAAAATTGATTTAAAATGGATTCAAAAGAGATGTTTTTCGTGCCGTCTGTACATACGTACGTATGTATGTATCTCGCACAGCTCAAAATTGAGTAGTCTCAGAACGTTGAAATTTTGTACATAGACTGTTATAACATTTAGTTCTGCATCTCATGATTGAATTTTGTTATTCTTAGCTTCCAATCAAGGTTTTTATGCCTTTAGTTAATCTGAATGCAATAGTTGTAGAATTATCAATAATTTAAAAGTTGTTTAAGTGTTGCTAAGCCTAATTTTTTTAAAACATAGCAGGTACATTTGCTAGTGGAACCAAAAGGAAACTTTCAGTTTTGTGCACTGAAAAATATGCCTTCTTGCAAGCTGACAGAATTGCTTGTTTTTGCGTAGAAACTGTAATTTTAATTGTAAAAATTCTTTTTTAATTGTTTTAACTGTATTTGGCGTTTTATGTTTTTCTATACCTTTCAATTTTTAATGAAGATATTTTGAGTTTTTAGGTATTTTTGCCTTGCCGCGAAATGAGAACTGAATTAATTGAATGAGAAATATTTTTCGAATGAAATTCGAGGAAATAAGTTTAAATGAAATGCCGAAAAAAATGCGTATAATTTAATACTCCGTAAGGAAGGTATGTGGCGTACACGTCAGATTTTTTTTTTTTTTTTAGAATAGTACGCCGAAAGCAGAGACGTCACGCTAATTTAATAAACTAATAACGTGTATTACTTATTAAGGGAGAACTATTAAATATATTATACTATTATAAATCCTCGCATTTGAGTTTTAAGTTTGTCTGAACATTTTTTAAAATCAAAATTACAAATAATAAGAATTTTAGCCTTTCCAACTCAAGTTTATAACGGTATTTAGATTTTAAACACGATCAAATTTATATAAACCGTATTTTATGCTTAGTAACTTTGTTTAAAATTTAATGAAATGAATAAAATGCAGGTAGAGAGGCTCAGTAGAGGTTTTAAATAATATGCCAAGTTCGGTAAACGGTTGCTAAATATAAGCAAATTGAAAAATCGGATTTAAAAAGAATTAACGTACAAATATGGCGGGGAAATTTTCGAAGTCTTGGATAAATGGGAAGTGTTTACTTAATTGCACCTGGTTCGTTTCCCCTTCTGTGTGGGGCGAAGAATTTTCGGCTAAAAGGACAGTATTTTTCCTTTCGGCTAATCTTTCACCAGATGAAAAGACACTAGACCCTATAAGGTATTTCGCCCACTTCCTTAGCGTGCCTTCGTGGTGTAACGGTAGCACGCTGGGCCGGTATTCCAGAGTATCGTGGTTCGATTCCCGGCGAAGGCGGTTGCTATTTTTCATCTCTCTGGCTTCCCAAAAATCCTGATGTCTCTTCAACCCCACAAACAGTGTATTTATTTATCTGCTAAATGAGTTTTTTGGAAACAAAAATGTCAGAAATAGAAGACGTTTTAAGTCTTGCGTTGATGTCTCCCCCCTCCCCCAGAAATGAGAGTGACCTTCCCAGAAATTCCTAATTCTGTAGCCATACGCAAAGTATTTCTGATACATCACATCCTTTTAATTTTCCTATCCGTACACTATGGTCTTCATCAGAAGCGAAATCTCATAGTCATAATAAAACACTATTCATACACTCAATCAATGTATAGTTTAGAAATAAGTACGTCCGTGAAACATCATTCTGTCTTTTAACAGTACCATTTTCTCATTGCTGTGTGAAAAGAGGGTAGATACGATTACATTCGGCTGCACTTTCTATCACTTTTCTAGCGGTTACTGATGGTGATTGATATCACTTCACTAGATAAATTTCATCGCAATTCATCGCATCAAAAACATTATACATAAATGCCATAAGCCATTTGGGATTTCATTTCCAAATCATTCAACATTCTTCTGGCGTCTGAATTTAAATAATAGCCTTATATCCATATCAAGACGCTGTAATTCACTTCTCTGGTTTGATGCAAGGGGGGAACAGCTACTTTCAGATTTAAGAAATTGTAGTTTATTAGATAAAAGGAAACATTTCCTGTTAAATTCCCAATATTAATTTTCCAGAATTTTTCTCGAAAATCAGGTATCTTGTAATATGAAGGCTAAGAATTTTCGAGAATCGAGATTCAAGGTTACTTGTAAACTCGAGATTTCCTTCTGCGGGATTCTCAGGCCCACAAGTTAAAGCTAACCCATCCAAGATCATTTACTTATAGAAATTTTTGAAAAATCTGAGATATAATATTTGCTTTGTCATTAAGTCTATTTTCTTCTTTAATTATTCATGTGTAAAATTATTTCGTGCTTTGAAATTTTTTAAAAGCTGCAAACTGATAGACTGAAATTCACTAACTGAGAGGCAGTGAAGTTCAATGACAACGGATACATAAGAATATGTCATAAAACATTAAATGCTAATTTAAAAACAAACTGAAAACTTTTGTTTTGCATAAGTATCTTATCTTTTGTTAGAAAAGTGCTGTTCTGTTAAGAAATAGTCAGGTATAAACTAATAATAGTAGCAATCTGATTGTAAAAACGAGATTCATATCATATCTAGTTTTTAATGCAACATGAATACACTACCTCTTGATAAAATGCTTTTACTTGCAAGCTATTAATAACTATGATATACTGAGCCCAGTGGCTTGTCGATATTATTCCTTCGACGGACTTAGAATAAAATGTTTCCCAAGTTGTTATGACACCGTTCTTTACTTTCTGTCTCGAGACTACAGACTTAATGAAGACGATACAAAAATTAAAACAACGTTCCATAATTCAGAAGTCAAACAAATTTGAAAATATAACATATCAGCGTTATGTTTTCGAATTTTCACAGGATTATATTCGATGGTTTTTTTACCGAACCATCATCCTCAGCTGCAAAAAGCAATAGCTGCAAAAAGCAATAGCAATATATTCAAAAAAACATCTTCCATTGGAGAACTGGATTTCAGGCACATTTCTAAAAAATCTTTCTGTTCTAGTTAACGATCCTAATTCCAATCCAAATTTGCCTTCGGCTTTTAGAGAAATTATGTTTTAGTTCTGGTTTCGCCAACAGATGGCGCCACTTGCTTATTCTTGTCCAGGCCTTCTTATCTAATCATTATTTCCTATCTTGTTCATTTGCGGTTTTGCAGCTGAGGATGATGGTTCGGTAAAACCATCGAAACTAGTCCTGTGAAAATTTGAAAATATAACGCTGATTTTTGTTGTTTGACTTCTGAATTAGTATTTTTTCGACGTGTTATTGTGTCTTAATAATCCATACCTCAGAAAACGAAGAAGGGTTAGAGGGAAATACCACTAGTAAAAAAATAATACTTATGAAAAAAACCTATAGAAAATTAAATATACAATAACAACTCTTTCTTCAGTTGGCTTTGAACTATACCTCACATAAACCCTACATATATAACCAGATATACTTAATTTCTGGCGGAGTATCACGTTTAACAGAACGCAAAGCTCAAATCTGTAAAAACACTCTTTGAAATGATGCTGAAATTCCCATATATTGCCTTTGCTGAAATTTTAGACCATAAGATAAGATTAAATGCTAATAGGATCATATTCGAGGAATTTTACGAAATTTTATATCACTAAGTTAGAACAAAAAGTAATGAAAGTAAGACGCTCCGAAATATTATACAAATTTGTACGAAAGTAAAGTTCTTTGAAATATTTTTCGTTATATGGGAACTCAGCATTTTCCCTTGAATGAGCCCACCAGCGGCCGAATGGTAAAAATGCTGAACACTGGTAATTCCGACTTAGCTTCGAATCCAGGCCGAACGGGCTTGTTTCATGGTCGTTTTCGTAGTTTTCCCCATGTGTAACGTGTATACAAGCCACAAGCCAGTTTCCCAAAGGCATCCTTCCCTTAGGCAGGTAGCTCTAGTGAGCTTTGCCATAATAAACTAAACCAATACCCTCTAACGTACAGCCAGAGGTCTGAAACAAAATTTCCTGACCTAATAGAGGGGAAAAAATTGTTGAAAATTGGATAAATAATTGGTCCTTGAAAGTCTGTTAAAATTAAAATTGTTTATTAACTGAAAAATTTTTCGATGCATTGTATAAAGAAATTTAAAGTGTATTTATTACAACACCTAAAACTTCACTTAACCATACAGTACAACTGTACAAACTCAAAGAAAGGTGTAGATACATTTACAGCTTCTTAAACTATAGTTCTTATTGTAATGAGGATTTTCTGCACTCAGAGTATGATAAATGATTGGAAGACTTAACAACATATACTTGAGTGCCAATCAGTGGATAAGCATCAAGAAAAGGAGCCCTTTAATATTTTGAATATCCAATATAAATAGTTGAAATAACGCAACTACAATTATAATTTTCTAATAAACATTTTTCTGATCTGTTTGTTCACTGAACATCAAAACAATATTTCAGTATTAAATGGGCAGATTGAGGAATATTTTCATGTATTTAATACTCTAGAAGAAGAAAAAGAAATTAAACGATATGCATTTTGAAATTCTGAGGATATTTGAACGTAATATAATATAATAACAATTTACCGACTTGCATATGCAATGGTTAAAAACTTACTTTTGTGAGTGAGGTCGAAACGAGAATCATTAAAAGATTCCTTCAAAACTAAAAAGCAGTTTGAGCTGCAGCAGTCAGGTTCTTCTTTTCGTGCGCTGTAACAATATAATGTTATTTTTTTAGAATTTGAAAGAGATAAAAATACTAAATTATGCATTAACATGTTACCAAATAGCTAAGTGCAAGACGTTTAACACAATTAGAGTAAACGATTAAAGTGAAATAATGAAATATGATGTTATTAAGTGCTTATTTAAGATTAGTCAATAAATGATTTATCCAAAAAAATGCACGAAGACTATTTGCTCTTGAAGAGTTGCTTTCATGGTTGAGTTTATAAAGGAAACTGTATAGTATTATTGTTACAGATAGTAAAAACACTAGCAACCATGAATTTTCACCCCCCCCAGGAATCGAAACTGCGATGGAACTACAATATTCAGCTGTCTTATCAATCGCTCCAAAGTTGATTTTAAGCATCCAAAGTACAAAAATAGTCAGTCATTGCCGCCCTTATCCTGCTGAAGCAAAAGTCATTTGCACTAGTTGCTAAGCTTGTCTGAAGATTTTATTTGACAATATTCTTTGAGTGTAACTAAATTCGCGCCAAAAATAATTGTTCTTTAGTCTTACAAGTAAATTTCATTCCATTTGATTGGATCCCGTGAATACCATAGTTAAGTTTATAAGGTATTTCTCCCGCCTTCCTAGTGTGCCTTCGTGGTGTAGTGGCTCCGCACGCTGGGCCGGTATTCCAGAGGTCCGTGGTTCGATTCCCGGCGAAGGCGTCTGCTAATTTTTCATCTTGCCTGCTTCCAAAAAAATCCTAATGTCTCTACAGTGGCGCCCGAACTAAAAGGGTGTTGATTGATGATTCTTCTCACCCAGGATTTGGCGAATGGATCCCCTAAAAATTCCAGTCGCCTTTCAAAAGTGGGGAGTATATAAGGTATTTCTCCCGCCTTCCTAGCGTGCCTTCGTGGTGTAGTGATTCTGCCCGCTGGGCCGATATTCCAGAGGTCTGTGGTTCGATTCCCGGCGAAGGAGTCTGCTAATTTTTCATCTTGCCTGCTTCCAAAAAGAAAAAAAATCCTAATGTCTCTGCAAGTTTTGCTCTTTTATTATGCTTACAATATCGTTAGACAAAAATATTTTATTTAAAAAGATTTTAAAACGTTGTAAAATATATTTTAATTTTATAACAGTTATTTTAATTTTGAAATCTTTTCCTATCAATTCATGTTTCCACTTACAGCTCCCTACCAGAATGAGTTTTTAGAAATGCGTTCAACGCAAATGAGTTAGAAGTATCTAAGGAAGGTTAAATTAACTTTGATAGAGAGTTGTAGGAGTCCTTAGTGGCGCATGTTTCCTTCTGGCTAAGTCACTCTTGAAGCTGTTACGCTCGGCCGTATTATGCATGCCTATCGACATTCGCCGGCTAGTTTAATTTAAGGGCCAACTATGTTAGATAATTGTGTCTAGCTTCGGCTAAGTCTCGCTTAGTTAATTATAGTTTAGTTTCTTATTTTCTTATTCTGAGTTAAAGCCCGAGTAGAGGCTTTCCTGTAAGTCAGAGAAGGGGCCAACTGTTACTCTTATTTGAGTGAATAAAAGAGTAATTTAACCCTTCTCGAGTATACGTCTTAGTTGTTCTGAACTCAGCGAGAAGTAACTATATAGTTTACTAGGTTCCTCGACGTTTTTATCATAGGTAAAGGGCGCGGCATCCTACAACTCATGGAAATAATTGCAGTGGTTAGAACTCATAAACATGTTTGAGGTAGTCCAAATATAAATTTCGAAACCACTAGGAAATGCAAATTTTCAGCAGCCTAATAAAAATTTCAAAAATGATAACGTCATTTCTTAGAAAAAAAATAAATAAAAAAAAAAAAAAAAATTAAAAAAAAACCGCGTTTAAAAGAAGGAAATGAGAGATTTTGAAGGGGGGCAATACAAAACCATTCGAAAATTTTTAGTATGCAACTTACATATGCGGTTGAAATTTTAAGTCCAGAATTTACTTTAAGATTATAAGGAGGGGGATCTTAGTCCTAAATTTAATAGCATTCTTCACCTCACTTCTCATTTCCTGTGCATACTACCTCGAAGTTTAAGCTCTGAGCTCTAATTGTATTTTCCACTTCACGATTTCTTTGCTCATACAGGACCGGATGCATTCATTTGCTAAGAAATCTCTCTGAGTGAATGACACAACTTCTGAACTCCTTTAACACTCTCCTTTTGAATTTATTAAACTTTTCCGATCCACTTATAGGGATCACAGTAGTGATACCTATGAATATCAGTGTAGTTCCATAGTGTTAATGTGTTCGTCTTCGTTTTTATAGCTTTGGTCACGCATATGCACGCCAAACGGAAGACTTCACCTGGAGCATTAAAAGAGTCTAATTTTTGGCTATTCATATTGTTGCGTACGTACGGCTTCGTAACAGATTGAACTCACAAGTCCGATAAAAGAATACAATTTGTTCTTATCAAAAGAAATAGAATAGAACGCTGGAATTTTTCTCAAAAATATTTGTACAAGTGTTCACAATATCACGCAATAATTATCAGTAGTTATCTTTCAAACTACTAAAACATTAAATAGAACGCAATCTATAGAGCAGAGAAAGCTAACCCGATCAACAATAACAACAACAGCTAACTAAACAACTGAGCTGAGATATATCTCTCCGGCCTTTTTAAAGCTTTCAATCGGTGGCAAGAGAGTTCTAGTAATTTCTTTGCATCTCGATATATCTGGAAACCAAAAAGACGATGGAATTACACAGTAGTCAATTACATTTACTCAATTTCAATACAAATAAAAGAGATATGCATTAATTCAATGTTAAATGCACATGCTCTTACATTTTTACTTTTTCGGCATAGCTTTCTCTTAAACCTCGTCTCTCGTTGCACTCTACGCGGAAATAACACAATTTTAATTATAATTCTACTAACATTAGCCATTTAAATATAAAATTCGTAACAATATAAACTGTGCATATCTGTGCACCATTTACCTGCTCTTTGTATTCAGTTATTGTTTAATACAAGAGCAGGATACCCTTTTAGAAATCCCTGTATATATATAGAGAGAGAAATACGCACAAAAACACACATTTGTATAGTTATTTATCATATAATTTAAATATCAATCTAATTCCAGAAATATTTCGAATATGATGTGAACTTTTAGTATGCAAACTTAGAAAAATCGATGAGCTTAACGGAGTGATGCCCAGTGTGTCTGAAAGGCCTTTGTAAGGGTACAATGATTCTCAGAAAAAGCACTGAGAGCAATAACACGTCCACCTAAAGCGTCCCAGACATGTGTCAGTATGATCGAAGTGTATATCTTATAAGCAATGTGTGGTGTTGTGTATGATCGTATAAGCAATGTGTGGTTTTGTGTATGATCGTATAAGCAATGTGTGGTGTTGCGCTGTCGCCGCGGGAAAAAAATGTTGACTATTTGCACCCGTAAGGACATATATCAAGAATGTCATTAAGTGTATATTTCAAAAATCACATTTCTACTGGAAATAAATGGAGCTCTGTGCGACCACTTAAAGAGATTCCTCCCCAGACACAGATGAAAGAGTTACGCTTCATGATGTAAATTCTTAAATTCTGTTTATTTTCTTCATTCGGGTGTTGCCTCAACTGGACACAGCCACCTGAAAACTGACGTTACCTTCACAGTTGAGAACACTTATTTTTTCTATCGCCTGTCTGGATTTTCTCCTAGTGCTTTAGATGAACTCTGATGAGTGATGAATCAAGCTGCTAGAGAAAAGAAAGAGAAGAGCCAAAGCGCTTCTTCTCTTTTCACCATCCAAGATCTCGTACGAAGGGCACAATTCATATACCATTCATTCTCAAGTTCCGTAGGGAACTCTGAAATTGCTCTGGAAGTACTGCTTTGACAGTAGAGCGCCGTAATAACCCTGTAGTACCGCAGTATCGCAGAAGCAAGATTCTTTTTTTAAGAATGAATGACTGATGATATCAGGTTCCAAGTTTTCGCCAAATCAAACAACGCCCGCTATCACTTTGGACTCTGACTAGATCTTGGCACATCCGTGAAGAATACTTTCTTCCATTGATCTGCAGTTCGGATGAGATGCAGACGTTTGCAACAGTGAGTGACGAGAGAGGAGAGGTGCACAAATGGCTAGTCGCATCACTTAAAAACACACTTCAACAGGGGTGTAGCTAGAGGCGGGCAAAAGGGGCATTTGTAACCAGGCGTAGCATCCAGGGAGCGCCAAATTGATGTTGTGAGTTTCTAAAATGAAATGTTTCCCATTCTTGTTAAACAGGAGAGGGAGCGAAATTTTCAATTGTCCCCAGGGCCGGAAACCCTAGCTACAGCTCTGTACTTCATGAAGCCTTCGGCAGAAAATAGGTGATAATATTCTATTATAGTTTTAGTGGCTGCAATAGAGAAGACCTACAGGGGTTATACAAAAATATGGAAACACCTTTAAAAAAAACATGTTTCTTTGCTTAATATGGTGTAGGAAACCCGTTGGCATCCAAAACAGCTTGCAGTCTTCTCAGAATGGATAAATACAGTTCCTGTATGTTTGCCAAGGGAATATTATACCATTCTTCCTGCAAAACGGTGGCAAGTTCAGATAACGATGTTGGCGGTGGATAACGAGAACGCACTTTCCGTTCCAATGTAGACCACAAAGGTTCGATAATATTCAGTCTGGTGACTGTGGTGGCCAGGGGAGATGGGACATCTCATCCTCGTGCTCAGAAAACCAATCCTGGACAATGTGAGCTGTGTGAACAGGGGATTTGTCGTCTTGGAAGACACCATCACCATCGGGGAACAAAGTTTGTACCATGGAATGAACTTGATCGGCCAAAATGTTCACATAAGTCTTGGCAGTCATGTGCCCTGACACAGTTATCATGGGGCTAGCAGAGAACCACGATATGGCTGCCTAAACCATAACAGAACCCCTGCCATGTTTCTCTCTTGGCAACAAGCAGTCTATATTATAGGCTTGAGATGGCCTTCTCCAGACGTAAACTCGGCCAGAAGTGGGAAACAATGTGAAAGAAG